AATTTGTTACGATCGGAGCAACTTTGAGGACTTATCATCCTATTAAATAGAATTGATAAGTGGATTGTCAAAGGTATAATATTAATGTGACAGAATTTTATACTTGTGATTTGAACAAAAATTTGAAGACTTAGCGTCTTGTTGGGAATGATTACGATTTGAGTAATTTTGAGGACTCTTATTGACAAGAATTGATAAGTTAATTGTCAGAGGTGTATTGTTAACATGATAAAATAGGAGTGATGCAAGTTGAATTCATACTCTGTGGGGATATAAATAGTCAGAAGTGTAATGTTAACTTGACGATGTTTGTAGATTTTGTGGTTGACAGAGGTATTCTATTGAACATGACAACTCAAAAAATTTATTACTCATAATCTAGTGGATCACAAATAAACCAACTCTCAATCTTGAACAAGTGCAGGGGGAAAAAAAGGGGTAGACAGGGCACATCGCCTAGTTGGTCACTATCTGATGAGTTTGACTATCAGATGTAACTATTAACGTGATAGTTTTGGTGGACCCTCCATCCTACTGAAGAGGATTGGTGAGGGAATTTGGGGGAAATGGACTATTAGAGGTATAATTTTAACTTGATTGTTTGGTGGACCCGCCATCCTGTGAAGAGGATTAGCATCAATGATCGTAGTATCTTCCCCTTCTGATTAAGAAGATTAGGCTTGGTCCCGTTGCTCAGGTTGATTTTACTTATTTTGTTCTTCAGCTTTGACCCTGACAATAATTTTTTGAGCCTGTTCACTTTAAGAGATTAATTGTTTCTAGGAACGGTATTTTGCAACCCTCATTTGTGCTAGAAGGTCGGTCTACAAGTTGTGTTGATAGGTCTGCAGTAAGATAAACTGTATCATAGCTGACGAACATCGAAGACCCATGCTTCAGAACCTCTTGACGAAGGCTTTGACGGGCTCCCTCTTCTTCTGCTTAATGGAGAGAAGGGCATGCATGGAGACTTTTGTGTCCTCTTCAAAGAATCTTGATAGGAAGAGTCTCTCTAGATCCGTCCACTTTTGGATACATTCGACAGGCAATTTCCTGAACCATTCAAAGGTAACTTTCTTGAGGGTGCCAATAAACAATCGAGCTAGTATGGCATCGTTTGATATCATATTCCCAGTCTGTGACTTAAAATGATAGATATGTTGATTAAGTGATCCCGTGCCATCAAAAGTTTATAGCATCAGGACCTCAAACTTTGGAGGATAAGGGGTTGCATCCCATTCGACAGGATAGGGCCTAACATCTCCCTCGTCTTGGAGCTCACTTCTGTTAGCAATGGCATTGAGACGGGCTTCTAATTCTCCTATTTTAGTGGACTAGAGATTCTACTTGTTCTTAATCTCTTTCCCATCTTCATAGGAGGATTCTATGTGATGAGTTTCTTGATCAGAAGTCTCGATCAATTTTTTCTTCCCTTTGCTTGTGAGTGGTCAGGATAAAGACGTTCTTCCTCTTCAGGAAGATTCTTACCTTGGCGGCGAATCTGTCTTCTGAGATTTGGCCCTGTCTGTGACGAATTGAGTCATAAGGATCCGGAGTTCATCGATGGCCTCCTGCTATGCTTTAATCATGGCTCGCTGCTCATCAATTCTATTCGCCAGATCTTCGAGGTTTCCTTTCATAAGAGTAGAGCTCTCATGTTCTGTAAAAGAACTAGAGGATTGAGATTTCATGATAGCTGAATGCTCACCATTGAAAGTAGATTCTCTAGCCAATCTTCGATAATCGACAAGAGGTATGACTCCCCTTCGAGTCTGGGTATGTTGGTAGATTCCCTCAAACTCATTCAGGATCTCTTTGAAGTTTGGAGACCAGTTCGTCTTTGACTCATTAGAACTAGGGATTGATGATTTCCCTCTACCGATTATGTTGGAAGTAACTCCAAGGTATTCATCCTCTGAATTCTTCTTCCTATGTGAACGTCATCATTGGTTGGGGAAAGCAACATTTGTTAATTGGTCGAACACCAATGGTTTGACCGCATATGAGCAGCATTGACATCCTAAGAGTACTATAGGAATCAGTCGTTCACATTGGAATAAATGAATGACTTGTTGTATCGGTCTTTCTCTTAATATGAACACTCTCAAATCTGTTGCAAAGACTCGAGAAGAATTACTCTTTGATCGTGAGGTTTGAATTAGGATCCTCTGCCTATGATTGGACAGGATTGGCTCTTGGTGAACATCGATCCGGATGAGATGCCTTAAATCCATGGACTTCTTATATCCTCCCCTCAAAACATGGACTTCTGTATTGGATTTCGTTACTCGAACGCATGCCTGAGGTCCAGGTTTTGCTGGTGAAATGCAGTCCTAAGATCTGCATTTTGCTAGTGGAACGCAATATTGAAATTTACTTTTTACTGGTGAAACGCAGTCTTGAAGTCTGCATTTTTTATATGAAATGCATGCCTGAGGGTTGCATTTAGTTTGTGGAACGCATTCCTGAGAGTTGCGTTTTAGTTCTGGAATACACACCTGAGAGTTGCGTTCAGTTTGTGGAACGCACTCCTGAGAGTTGCCTTTTGGTTCTGGAACGCACTGCTAAGAGTTACGTTTTGACTGAATAAAGCACCCCTGAGTGTTGCGTTCTGCTTGAATAATGCACTCCTGAGAGCTACGTTTTGTTTGAATAACACGCACTTGAGAGCTGCGTTTAATTTGGTTCATGCGAAGCTTTTGTTTGGGATCATGAACATGTGCCTCATGTTTTATAGTAGAAACACAGAGATCAGAGTTGTGTTTTAGCTCACAAACGCGAAGCTCGTATTGATTGAAAGGTCAGCTTTTTCGGAGTTGTGTCCGTCGTTAGGATTTTCTCCTTCATCTAGCGGTATTCTTCTTGACCTGTTTTAAGGCCTTTGCAACGATGTCGTCGGTGTTGATAGAGTTGGTTACCACGATGGGCCTTTTGTGACCCAATACCCATCGCTTTAGCGTAGGTGCAGAACCTTCAACTCGGTGGACGAGTTTGGACGAAGCTAAGTCTTCTCCTTCAAAGAGTGGATTGTATGAACATTGCAACCCCTAGGGGAGACAGTTCTTTGATGAGTCGGCCACAACTAGAGCTTTAATCTCTTTAGAGACTTTGCGGATCTTACACGTAGCCTTAGGGCTAAGGGATTCAAAGGAAAGAACTTCCACATACTTGGCTTGATCAAACTCTACCATGAGAGTTTCGACCGTTCTTCCAGCAAGGTTGACATTGGATTGTACCACCACTTTTTTATCAGTGAAGTCATTCCTCAGTAGAGTCGCCATCTTTTGTTTGGTGAAAAATTTGTAAGAGACAATTGAAAGAATTGAAATTGATTTATTCCCTCTAACTGCTTAGAAAAAGAATGTTTACAACTCTCTTGATCTCTTACTGATTACAATTTGAATTTCTGATTACAAAAGAGAAGAGGATCAATATAAATCCTCCCCTTTATTTGAAACTAGGTTCTTCATGGTAGCGATGAGATGCCTCCCTCGATATTCGTATCGAGTTTGCTTCCCGTTGATGATCCGACATTTCACCTTGCTGGATTGAATTCGATAAAACTTGCGTGGCTAGTTTAAAAATAACTCTTAACAAGTTTAAGAACTTTGTGTGAGTTTAAACTCTGTAGAACCAAAATTTGGTTAATAAACCAAGTATCAAAACTCATTGATCTCGGTTGCTGATGAATGCTCCAAGCTCTTTGCTGATCGCTAGATCCGAAAATGCTCAAAGATCCAAAAGATCTAAAAGATCCGAACTAAGCTGATCTTTCAGCTATTTATAGGCGATTAGGGGGTGTAACCACCCCTAAAATTGCTCCTTTGTGGGGCTTATGGGATGTAACCACCCCTTAAATCACTCCTGAGTGAAGTTGTGATCCCCTCAGATCGTGAGAAATGGTTTTGAAACCGTTCAGCTCATGTTTAAATGAGTCAAAAGTAAGAATTACGCTCTGGCATGAATTTTGCATTCAAACGTAGCAATTTAGAAGCTCGAACGCAGCGTATGGAAGCTACATTTGCAGCAGTTTGGATGCTGGATCGGTAGCTTATAAGCTACATTTGGTAGCAATTGGAAGCTACATTGGCAGCTTGGAAGCTGTGTTTGGTAGCACTTGAAAGTTGCGTTGGCAGCTAAATCTGAGTTACATCTGTAGCGTTTGGAGGCTGCGTTTGAGGATGAACATGAGCTGCATTGATAACTAGATCTAAGTCGCGTTTATAGCGTTTAGAACTGAATGTGAGCTACGTTTTCGGCCAGGTTTGAGTTGCGTTTGTATTACTTTGACTCTGGAACGAGGCCACTTACGTTTTGATTTGAAGAGACCGTTAATTTGTAGTCTCTTTTATTAGAGCGTGCAAAGATCGTCATCTTGTAACATTCGTCTTGGCTCCTTGAAAATATGAGAGTCATCAGATTGTAACTTCGTCATCTTGTAACATTCGTCTTGGCTCCTTGAAAATATGAGAGTCATCAGATTGTAACTCCCGATGTTAATTGTGAAGGCTGTTGAGAGTCATCAGATTGTAACTCCCGATGTTAATTGTGAAGGCTGTTGAATTAGAGCTTTCATCGGTTGTTATGAAGGTTGTCAGATTGTAACCTTTATCGATCTACGTGAAAGTTTTTAAATTGTAGCATTCTGAAAGCCATCAAATTATAACTTTCATCCTTGATATTTGATAGGGATCAGCTATCTGCAATAATTTTTAGAAAGCCTACAGACCCCCTTGCCCCTCTTATGCATAGCGCACGAATAGATACATTGAAGTGTCCCAGTTTGTTTAGAGGTAACGGGACACCTTTGAGCAGTGATTGGTTTGATAGGAATCCATGTATGACCCCTAGTCTGAGGACCTTCTTGGGTTTTGATCATCAGACCCAAGCGCTCTTTCATCAGTTCTTTGCATCAATCTTCATGCTGAGGACCAAGACTATCAACCATAGTAATTTTCAACTTAGATAGGTCAGGGCTGACCCAAGGCTTCACTGAAGGCATGGTGGAAGCAACCGTGGAGGATGGACCTGGAACGGGTGCTGAAGGAGGAGAAGAAGTGGTCACGGAAGCTATCCTTTGGGCAAGACAGTGGGAACTGTCTCAGCCAAAGGCTCTTTGGGGGAGACAGTTGCCACTGTCTCGGCCAAAGAGTGTAGTTTTCGCTGCCTTCGAGCCTTGATTTGGCACAAGCTTGGACTTTGGAATCCAAACTTTGTGGGACTTTGGTGGTTCTCCGCCCACCCCTTTCCTCTTTAATTCTTGATCTTTTGGCACAAGGGCACGACCATGTGCGGCACGTGCACGACGCTTCTAGATGCACTCCATCTTGGTAGAACGAGTCCTTTTGATGAGAACCCACTCTTCAGTCGATGACTTGGAGGAAGTGTTAGCAATACGTTGCTAAAGTGATTTGGTTGCTTGACGCTTCCTTGTCTCCAAGTCCGCGTAGTAGCGAACTCCATCTACTTATGCCAAGGCCTTCGCAAATTGATGAGCCTGACGCTAGAGTTGTCTCTGACGAGCCCTCTTCGTCAGAGTTGACGAACTTGCATTAATGTTGAATGACTCCTTAACTGTGGAGGACCCATTGTGAGCAGAGTATCCAGCTTTGTTGGTTGTCGGAATAACATTGCAAGGGGAAGCCTCGATAACTGTTGGGTGAGAGTTGTTACACAGAGTCTTCATTGGCATGGAAGACTGAAAAACCTTCTTCGAAGATGAGATCCTCTTGTACTTACGGGGAGAGGGGAACCTTGATGAAGACGAGGAAAGATATTCCTTGAACTTGGCTTCGTCGAACTCATACTCGACCATTAATACGACTTGAATAATGATCAGCTACGACACTATAGTCTCGACATCGGGACTGATGTCTCCCACTATGGTCACCAGCGTATTCGCTTCGGGAACAAATTTCTTTGTTGTTTCCATTAAATCGTTCAATAGAAACAAATGAATGAGTCTTACACGTGTAATTTTTTTCTTCTTTACAAAGAAACAAAAATTGATTCCCTAGAAACATACACAGAAAATCCTACATAGTAGCTTCTACTTGCTTGGGAACTTTGCCTATGCCAAGAATGCATTATCCCTTGACCACCAAGCAACATCTCCAAGTCGGATACGAAGAAGACTAAAAGTTGATGTTTTGACCGAGAAACAAGAACTGAAGTAAGTATCTTAGCGAAGTAAGATAAATACTCTTCTTAAGAACAAGTCAAAGCTTGAACTCAAGGAACCACCGAGAAGGCTCTTGAGAATGCTTGAAAGTGGATGAGGAACTCTTTTTTGCTCTCAAAGTTCACCAAATGCCAATTTTGTTCTACTCTCTGCTCTCCAATACCTTCCTTGGTACCGTGCACAAGTGTGTAGGTGGGTATTAATAGTCATTGGAAGCCATAACCGTCAAATAGGAGTCGTAATAACTGATGGCCATTGTTTTCTTTGGGCGAGACAGTGTCCACTGTCGCCTTTGGGCGAGACAGTGTCCACTGTCTCGGCTAAATGAGGTAGTTTTTAGCTTTTTGTAACCATCGTCCACTAGCTTAAATTGCATTGAATGCCACAATTTCGTGGGTAGTGGGCATATTTTCAGAATGTAACCATCCATTAACATTAATGAACATTTTCAAGCAGCTATAGAGCTACGTGGTCCTCGCAAAACTCAACAAAATCGTCAGAAAACTTGGGAAGATGCCTCGTAATTGGTGAGACAGTGAAGACTGTCTCACCAACTGTGAGACAGCTCCAAGTCTTCTCTTGCGTTGTTTTTAATTTTTCTTTACTTCCTTTTGCCTTAGGTCCCTGACTTAGATGATGACGTTCTTCATTTTCTCTCTGTCTTGAGTTGTATTTAGGATCTATAGAAAATTTTTGACACCTACAGTTACAATTTGACGAACTTCACGACAACATACGAGAGTTACAAATTGACGACTCTCACATTTGAAAGAGTCAAATGTAAGGATTATAAGATGACGATCCTTGCAACACTCGAAGAAAGAGATTAATTGACAATCTCTTCAAAGCCAAATACAAGGGTCCACCGTCACGTTCTGAGTTCCAAACACGGAGCTCACCTCTGTGTATCATGCTCTAAACGCCAAGCTCATATTCGCATTTCATAAGCTAAACACGAGGGTCGTTCAAGAACGCAAACCTCGTGTTTGACCGCGTTTGACTGATTCAAACACGTTTTGAACGGTTCCAAAACCTTTTTGCACGTAATGGGGGTATTAAAACCCCATTATGGAATGATTTAATGGGTCAGTTACACCCCTTAAACCCTATAAATAGCTGTGTTTTTATAGCTGAAAAAGGGTTAACTTGGTTGGAGCTTGATTAAGGCATTTTGTTAAGGCTTTTGGAGAGCTTTTTGGCTTGGCTTTTAAACCATTTCGGTTGAGGAACTCTAAGATTGGCTGTTTAGCCTATTTCAATTAAAAAGGATTGAATATCCTTTCTGAAATTAACTCTTTCATAGAGTTCTTAACTCGTTTAGAGTTCCAAAACTTGCCTTGCAAGTTCTTCTTAACTCGGTTAGAGTTCAAAACTTGTTCGACAAGTTATCAAACTCATTTAGAGTTCAAAACTTGCCTTGCAAGTTCTTCTTGCAAGACGTAAAAGTCAAGAAGAAGAGACAATATCCTACGAAGTGACGTGCTCGGATCGTCAACAAGATACAAGGTTCAAGCTCTCCTCACCTCCAAGAAAACCCAGTTTTAAACAAAGGGAAAGATCTCTGTTGATCCTTCTCTCTTTTGTAAATCAGGAAACGTATAAAGAAGATTATAATTTCTTTTTCTAAGTCAGTTAGAGAGAGATTGTATTTATTTATTTTCTAAGTCAGTTAGGGAGATTAATACAAATTCGTTTATTTTTATTTCTTTTTTAAATTTTTCCCACAAACAAGGAGGCCAAACCAGAGGTGATGGGGGGAAGGAGGGAGGGTTTGACAATTTTGTTACTTGAAAATGAAAGTGAAAGAGAGAGAGTAGTGGAGGGTATATACACTTCACCCATGTGCTTAGAAAACATGGAATATGGCAATTTTTAGGGGCTTTTGTAAAAACTTTTATCCACTATAATGGCTGACCAAATATTAAAATGTGTTATTTAGAGAGTTCTAAAATATATATTTATCAAATTGGATTAACAGTAATCAAGGTTTAAAACATTATTGGTTAAGGTTCACATGCTTGGTTTAATATGCATACTATACCTTAGTTAACTCTATCATAAATGAGAGATTAGCTAAGTTAGTATTCTCGTGCCACAAGATTACGTGAGACAAAAGGAAGAAAAGAAGAAAAATACTAATTCATGGAACGGTATCAGCAACAGTATTTATGATCATTTCACATCTTAAAGTAATAATATTATGGGGTTTTACTCAGGAAAGTGTAAAAATCACAAAGGATTACTGCATTTTTTTTATATAAATATAAACTATTTCGCAATTAAGATATAATAATAATAAAATAAACTTAAAAGAACAATGATAATATTTTATGACGTGTAGTGTTCGTTCATCAAACCTAGTAACATTAAAACAACAATCTCTTCATCCTCAGAGGAGCAAACCCCACCGTAATTGGTATCTGCCAGGCTCGTACAAGATCACCTATCCCTAATAAATCAATCATAAGCCAAGGCCTTTCTCGTCACAAGTTCTGTACTGAACAGACAATGAAGCCAATCCCTACACTTTCCCTTCATCCTGCTACTCCTCGCTCCTCTCCCCATTCTGCCCTTCCTTCGCCACAACCGCTGGCGGCGGCCCTGGCATATCTTCCTACAAGCCAGCACAGCGTCATCCTCCTGTCAATGCACATGCAATCTCTCCCAACGACGGAGGGGGAGGGTGGCGACTAGGGAGGTGGGGAGGGTTGGTGGGGGGGGGGGCGTATTCTCGGTTGACCGGGATCAGTGGATTTCGGGAAAAAGGCAGCTGAGCGAGGGTCGGTGGGCCGGTCTCGTGAGGCTGGGGATAGATGGCGCGAGGGGCGAGAGACGGCGACGGCCGCGGAGGGCGGAGGGGGTGCGTCGGCCAGTTGGAGGAGCGGGATAAGAGCGGAGTGGAGCAGAGCGTGTTTCTTTCTTGTCTTCTTATTTTTGGTTGTTGTGTCGTCTAGTAGTAGTGAGTTATGTTGGTTTATTGTTCTCTATGTTATTTTCTTATTCGTATTACTTGGTTTATGTTGCACGTGTGTTTGTGTTGGCGCGCGGTGACGGGGGGGGGTCTGAGAGAGCAGGGGCGGAGTTGGTGAGTAGGAGGAGGTGGAGGGATATGCGGGGACGGGGGCGAAGCGTGCCGTTCGAAAATTTATCCCCTGTGACAACGGGCGCTGTGACTGGAATGAAATCAATCCAGGCCTCGCCGTCCGTCGTTGGTACGCTACTAACCAAATTCTCCCTGACGGCCGCGCGATCATTGTCGGTGGACGAAGGCAGTTCAATTACGAATTCTATCCCAAGTCCGATTTTACTAGTTCAAAGCCCATCAGCCTCCGTCTCCTTGTTAAAACGCGCGATAAAGAGGAGAACAATCTGTACCCTTTTGTTCATCTAAACGTCGATGGAAATCTCTTCATTTTTTCAAACAACCGGGCGATTCTCCTTGACTACAAGAAGAATGTGGTGGTGAGAAGCTATCCAGTGTTGACTAATGGTGAACCTCGGAATTATCCGAGCTCGGGCTCATCTGTTCTTCTGCCGTTAAATCCTTCTGGATCCGAAGCAGAGGTTTTAGTCTGCGGAGGAGCCCCAAAAGGATCGTTCAACAACGCCCAAACCCAAAAAACCTATTTTGGCGCGTTAAATACCTGTGGTCGTATAAAAATCACCGACAAATCGCCATCGTGGTCGACGGAGACGATGCCCATGGCAAGAGTGATGGGCGACATGCTTCTGCTCCCGAATGGACAAGTGCTTATCATTAACGGCGCAGGCGCAGGGACTGCGGGATGGGAAAATGCACGTGAGCCAGTGCTCAGGCCGGTAATTTATAACCCTGACGCCTCGCCTGGAGCTCGATTTCACGTGCAATCGTCGTCGAGAACTCCGAGGCTGTATCATTCATCTGCGATCGTGCTTCGTGACGGTCGAGTGCTTGTCGGCGGTAGCAATCCCCACATTTACTATAATTTCACCGGGGTTAGGTACCCGACCGAGCTAAGCCTGGAGTCTTTTTCCCCGGGGTACTTAGATTCTGGCGTTTCGGGTTATCGACCGGTGATTTTATCGTCCATGTCGCCATTAAATTTGAGTTACAATAACAAGTTTAGTTTAAGGTTTACAATGAAGGTTTTGAGTGATGTTATTACGGTGACAATGTTGGCACCGTCGTTTACTACACATTCATTCTCTATGAATCAGAGGTTGCTGGTTCTAAGAACAACGAATGTTACGGTAACAGTAACGGGATCGGGATCGAAGGTCTATGAAATAGGAGTGACGGCGCCGTTAACTAGTGCGCTGGCGCCCCCCGGGTATTATATGGTTTTTGTTGTTAATGAAGGGATCCCGAGTGAAGGTATATGGGTTCATATACAGTGAGGAAATTGTAGGTTTAACATTTCATCTTTGATTTGTAGCGCACGACAATTAATAAAATATCCTTAATTTATAGTTTATTAATCTGCAAAGTATGTCTGGATATGAAGCACGACAAATTAATAAAATATCCTTAATTTATAGTTTATTAATCTGCAAAGTATGTCTGGATATGAAATTAAAAATGCTGTGGTACCTCAAGCACATGAAAAAGCCTAATGATCCATCGTAATCGCTGATAATTGAGGATTCCCATTCCCAACCACAGGAAGTCCACGCCAATGGCCAATAAATTTGAGTTACAATAATTAGCCCCTCTTTTATACGTCCTACAATGACCTCCCTTTCAAATCACCAACAATTAGACCAGCAATCTCGTTAACGGTATGTATATTCTACCATCTACGTACCATCCGCACTATGTGAGAATTTGATTATCACCTTTAAATTTTTTCTATCATATTCTTTGTGCCAATCTCTAACCATTCGATAAACTTTCACCAAAACGTTGAATTTATCAAGCATGTCCATCAACCCAAAAACTATAGATGTTTGTAGATGTCCCCTCATCTTGCATTCTGAAACGCATCAATATAACTTTCATCCGTTGATATTTGATAGGGATAGCTACTCGCAATATTTTTAGAACCTAGCACGACCTTGCCCTCCTTATGCATAGCCGCACGAATAGATACATTGAAGTGTCCAGTTTTAGAGGTAACGGGACACCTTTGAGCAGTGATTGGTTTGATAGGAATCATGTATGACCCTACTGAGGACTTCTGGTTTGAAATGCATCAGACCCAAGCGCCTTTTCATCCGTCTTGCATCATCTCAGCTGAGGACCAAAGACTATCACCATAGTAATTCAAACTTAGATAGGGTCAGGTGCCAAGATTCACTGAAGGCATGGTGGAGAACGGTGGAGGTATGGACTGGAACGGGTAGCTGGAAGGAGGAGAAAAGGGTCACGGAAGCATCCACTTTGGGCAAGACAGTGGAACTTCTCAGCCAAAGGCTTTCGGGGAGATCAGTTCCACTGTCTTCGGCCAAAAGTGCTAGTTTTCGTGCCTCAGAGCCTGATTTGGCACAAGCTTGGACTTTGGAATCCACAAACTTTAGTGGGACTTGGTGGTCTCTCGCCCCGACCGACCTTCTCTTTATTCTTGTCTTTGGCAGCAAGGCACGACCATGTGCGTCACGTCACGCGCTCTAGATGCATCCATCTGGAGACACAGTCTTTGATGAGAGCATTTCAGTCGATGATTTGGAGGAAGTGTTAGCAATAACGTTGTCTAAAGTATTGGTTTCTTGACGCTTCCTGCTCCAAGTCCCGTAGAGCGAACTCATCTAACTTATGCAGGCTGTCGAAGTTGACTGACTGACGCTGAGTTGTGCTCTGAAGGAGCCTCTTCGTCAAAGTTGGACGAACTTCATTAATGTTGAATGACTCTTAATTGTGGAAGAGGAGGGGCTTCGATTAGTGTAGCGAGAAGGTATCCAGCTTGTTGTTGTCGAATAAAACAATTGCCAAGGGGAAGCTCGCATCACTGTTGGGGTGAGAGTTGTACAACAAGAGCTCATTCGGCATGGAAGACTGAAAAACGCTCTTTCGAAGCTGAGATCCTCTTGTACTTACGGTGGAGGAGGGGAACTTGATGAAGAGAGGGAAAGATATTCCCTGTGACTGCTTCGTCGAACTCATACTCGGCCGATTAATCAACGACTTGAATAAGACAGGGTACACACTATAGTCGTCGAAGCGTGGGACTAGATGTCTCCCAACTATGGCACAAGGCGTATTCTGGCATTCGGAACAATTTGCTTGGTAATTAGAATGCGTTCAATAGAAACAATGCTGAGTCTTACCGGTATTTTTTTCTTACACAGAAACAAAAATTGATTCCTTAGAAACATAACACAGAAATCGCGTACATGTAGCTTCGTACTTGCTTGGGCATTTGCCTATGCCAAGCAAGCATTATCCCTTGACCAGCCAGAAGCACCATCTCAGCTCGATAAGAAGAAACGGTAAAGTGAATAGATCTCTTCGACCGATGGTATCTATGGTGAACGTCTCGAAACAAGAACTGAAGTAATGTATCTTGAGCGAAGTAAGATAAATCTCTTACCTAAGAACAGTCAAAGCTTGGAACTCAAGGAACACGAAAGGCTCTTGAAATCTTGAAAAGTGATGAGGAGGAGAGTAGAGTACTAGGTTGGTGTAGACAGGGGCGAGGAGGTGTGAGAGAGGAGCCAAATGCAGTTGGTGTTAGGGAGTTTGAGCGCTGGGCTCTCCAATACCCTACCTTGGTAACCGGGCACAAAGTGTGTAGTGTGGGATACTAGACATGTGAAGCCATCACCGTAAAGACGAGGTCGTAATAGACTGACATTGTGTTTCTTTGGGGAGACAGATATAGGGTGATAGAGCGTGGTACTGTCGCCGTGTTGGGCAGAGGACAGGTGTCAACTGTCTCGGGCTAAAGGACGGGGGTGAGGGATGTGTGGGGCTGGTTGAATATGGATCCAAATTTCGTGGTAGTGGGATATTTTTCTTATAATTTGTAATTTATTGGTTCCATATATCATAAATTATTTCTATTCAAGGTTACCGTTTATTAGGAGCTTACTTGTGGTCCCCACTTTGGGCAATAACTCACAAATTATCCGTCAGAGAAACTTGGAGATGCTCGTAGATTGTTTTTGTGGAGACGTAAGACTGTCTCACAGGACTGTGAACAGCTCAGTCTTGCTCTTGGCGTTTTCTAATTTTTCTTTACTCTTTTGCCTTAGGTCTGACTAGATGATGACGTTGTTCTTTCTCTCTGTGAGTGTATTGGTTAGGATTATAGAAAATTTTTGACATCTCAGTAGCGACAATTTGACGGACTTCAGCACAACATACGAGGTTTTACAAATTGACGCTCTACATTTGAAAGAGTCAATGTAAGGATTATAAGATGACGATGCCTGAACACTCGAAGAAAGAGATTAATTGACAATTCTTCAAAGTCAAATACAAGGTCACCGTCAGTTCTATTGAAAACACGGAGGTCACTCTGTGTATCATGCCAGACCGCCAAGTCATATTCGCGCAATTTCATAAGCTAACACGAGGGTCGTTCAAGAACGGAAAACTCGTTTTGAACGCCGCGTCTTGACTGATTCAATACACGTTTGAACGGTTCAAAACTTTTTTGCAGCGGTAATGGGGGTATTCAAGACCATTAATGGAATGATTTAATGGGCAGTTTAACGCTTAAACCTATAAATAGCTGTGTTTAATAGCTGAAAAAGGGTTAACTTGTTGACTTGATTAAGGCAATTTTGTTAAGCTTTGGAGAGCTTTGTGTTGTGGTTTGTATAGGTGTGGAGGGGACGTGGGTAAAGTGGGTGTTTAGCCTATTTCAATTAAAGGATTGAATATCTTTTGGAAAATTAACTCTTTCATCAGAGTTCTTAAGTCGTTAGAGTTCCAAAACTTGCCTTGCAAGTTCTTTCTACCGTCGGTTAGAGGTCAAAATTGTTCGACAAGGTTTCGCTCATTTGAGTTAAAATTGCTGCAGTTCTTCTTGCAGACGAAAAGTCAAGAAAGAGGAGACAAGTATCGCTACGAAGTGACGTGCTCGGATCTCAACAACAATACAAGGTGCAAGCCTCCTCACTCCAAGAAACACCAGTTTAACAAAGGGAAAGATCTCGTTGATCTGCTTCTGCTCTTTTGTAAGATCAGGAAAACGTCTATAAGAAGATTATAATTTTTTTTCTAAGCAGTTAGAGAGAGATTGTATTTAATTTATTTTGCAGTCAGTTAGGAGATTATACAAATTCGTTTATGTTTCTAATTTTTTTTAAATTTTTCCCCACAAACAAGGAGGCCAAACAGAGTGAGGGGAAGGAGGAGGGTTGACAATTTTGTTACTTGAAAATGAAAGTGAAGGAGAGAGTAGTGGAGGGTATAAACACGTCCGCCATGTCTTAGAAAACATGGATATGGCAATTTTTAGGGGCTTTGTAAAAACTTTTATCCACTATATATGGCGCCAAAATTAAAATGTGTTATTTAGAGAGTTATCTAAATATATATTTACAATGGATTAAGCAATCAAAAAGGGTTTAAAACTTATTGCGTTAAACGTCACATGCTGTAAAATTGCATACTATACCATAGTTAATCTATCCTAAATGAGAGATTAGCTAAGTTAGTAATTCTCGTCCAGAAAAAAAAAAAAAAAAAAAAAAAAAAAAAAAAAAAAAAAAAAAAAAAAAAAAAAAAAAAAAACAATAAGATTAGTGAGACAAAGGAAGAAAAGAAGAAAATACTAATTCAGTGGAAACGGTATCTAGCAACAGATTTATGAATCATCGTTGCACATCTAAAGTAATAGATATTTGGGTTTTACCAGGAGAAGTGTACCAAAATACAAGGATTACTGATTTTTTTATATAAATATAAACTATTTCGAATTAAGATATATCAATAAAAATAAACTAAAAGACAATGATATTTATTAAGATTTATACGTGTAGTGTTCGTTATCACTAGTCATTAAACAACAATTGTCTTCATCCTCAGAGGAGGTCAAACCCCACCGTAATTGGTATCTGCCAGGCTCGTACAAGATCACCTATCCTAATATAAGTTACAATTTGAGGACTTTCACGTAGAAGGTTACAATCTGACGACCTTCACAACAACTAATGAAAGCCCCAATTCAACAGCCTTCACAATCAACATCGGGAGTTACAATCTGACGACTCTCATATTCTCAAGGAGCCAAGACGAAGATTACAAGAGGACGATCTGTGCAAAGCTCTAGCAAAAGAGACTACAAAATGACTTTCTCTTCATATTAGAATGCAGATATCTCTCAAACCGTAAGGAATTTGGCCAAACGGAGGAAGTGAACCGAAGCCTCCGGCTCAGTTCGGATGGCCCCGTCTCGTCAAGATAGCTGATTTTCATATATAATTCGTCCAATTCCGACTTACGGTTTGAAAGTTATGACATGTTCTTCGCAGCAAGTTATGTTCTGAAGT